TATTGTCTTATAGGATATGATGTTTAGTTGTTTCTTGTTATGTTTTGTTTTCGTCTTTTTCTCTGTGTTTCATTTTGGATTGTTTCTATTGCTGTGTTTTAAGATCATTAATCTTTTTTTCAGCATTGTCTAAGTTGTAAATCCCATCTTGTATGTGTGCATGTTTTTATTTCTGATGCTGTATTTGTTATCTTTTGTAGTTCCTTTGGAGTTTTTTTTATTTTTTATTTTAATTTTCTAGAGATGGGGTCTCACTTTGTCATCTAGGGTGAAATGCAATTGCATAATATAGCTCACTGAAGCCTTGAACTCCTAGGTTTAAGAAATCCTCCTGCCTAAGCCTCCTGAGTAGCTGGGATTAGAGGTGCAAGTCACCATGCCTGACTGGAGTGCTTTATAAAAATTCCTATTTATATTCGTATCATGTTTTCCTTTAAATCTTTTATCATATTTGTAAGACTTATAATAGTGCTTATAGGGTCTTTGCTAATTCCATTGTCTCTCCATTCCATTGTTTGCTCATTTCTGGGTCTGTTTTTATTGACTGATTTTTCTCCTCACTATGGGTCATATTTTTCTGCTTCTTTGCTTACTGTCATTTTACACTTTGTTTGAATGCATGCTGATAGTATGAGTTTCACCTTGTTGAGTGCTGAGTTTTCTTGTAATTTTTTAGCAATTACAACCTAAATAATAAGTCTGCTATAACTTTTATTGTTGATTTTCTGTATGTAATGTGTATTTTTCTTTGGCTGCTTTTAAGACCTAAATATTATCTTTATTTTTAGCAGTTCAACTATGATATGCCTATGTATGGTCCTTGTATTATCTCTGCAATATTTATAAATAAACAAATACTAGTAACAACCCAAATATATAAGAATTTGACAATAGCTAAGTATATGCACTGATGTAATAGAATGACATGAAATACATATGTAGATGAAGTTGGTATACACTAACATATATAGGAAATAATCTTTAATAAGAATAGTATTATATATACAAATATTTGAAAATTAAAAATATTTATATGAGATATATATTTAATAGTTAAGTAAAGAGTATATTAAGGTGAAAGTTTTCTTCCCCTGAAAAATCTGGTTTTTGTAATAGCTTTACTGAGATATTATTCACATACCATTTAATTCTCCGGTTTAAAGTGTACACTCAAGTGTATACCCTTGGGTCCCCTGCCACCCTTGGGTCCCCTGTGGGAGCTTTTCTATCCTCTCAATAAATCTTGCTTTCTAAAAAAAAAAAAAAAGTGTACACTCAAAGTATACAATTCTATAGTTTTGAGTATATTCACAGAGCTGTGTAGCCATTACCACAATCAACTGTAGAAACTTTTTATCATCTCAACAAGAAACCACACACCTATCAGTAGCCATTCTCCATATTCTCCAACTCCCCACCCTGCCCCTGTAGGCAATCACTAATCAACTGTGGATTTGCCTTTTGTGGTCATTTTATATAAAGAGAATCATACAATATGGACTTTTCTAACTGGAATTTTCAGTATAATGTTTTTGAATTTCATCCATGTTGTACCATATACTTTATTTCCTTTTATTGCCAAATAATATTCCAATATTGTCATTTTCATATCGTGATTTACATGACAATAAATGGCTCTTCACATAAGCCTTTTAGGATAGATCCCCTGATACAGAATTAATGGATCAAAGAGCATGAACCTTTTTTTCACACTGTATTTCAATGTTATTTATGTATATATTTATATGGATTACATATAATGTGATTTTACTTTAATTACCTGAAAAATTAAACAAGAGAAAGTGCTTTTTGAACCCTGTAGTCTCTCATTCCAACCACCACACCTTAGGCCTGTTCCTCTGCTTTCTATCCCTAGGGGCAGCCACTATCCTGAGTTTGTCACATATCCCTCCAAGTCATTTTTTAAAAGTCTCTCCTTTCTCTCTATGTATATTTGTAAATATATATGTATATATAAACACATTTTCAAAGGTTTTAACTTACATGTTATTTGGAGGTTAATAACTCTAAGGTGATGCCTGTAACAGAAATCTCTATGTGTATTATTAAACAGAACAAAAAGTAATTCTATCACTTCTATCCTTTCCATCAATATTTATATCATATAAATAAACCATAGTGTAATGGGAGATCTGAATCTCAATAAGTGACTCTAATAGCCACCCTAATAATTTATACCATGCCCTCAAGAGAATACTATATTTCAAGAGGCTTTTTTAATTTTAAGGAGGGTAAATGGGATTGATTGCAGAGGGCTGCAGATTCAGTGTAGGACCAAAACACTTAGTTAGATTACAGATGTGGTAATTAACTCATTCTTAAACTCTATAAGTATTGCCTAATTACTATATAATTGGACTAGACAATTAAATCACCTATTTAAAAAATGGAATTTTGTGAACTAATCTAAATATTTGATAGATAATCTGCTTATATTTGGTAGAGTTTGAAAACATACTTCTGGTTATTTAGGTTTGGAGGGAGCCTCTTCAGCAATGACTCATCAGATTTAACAGGTTTCCTGGCTGTTATACAAGAGCTAAGTATCCACCATTTGTCTCCCAAATATCCTAGTTTTTTTTTTCTAGGAAGAAGTTATTTCTTTTCCCACAGCATACCTGGTGGCAGCATATATTCATATTTTCACGTAGTTGAGTCTGAATAGTCTCATGTTTTCTGGGCATTCTTTTAACTCTGAGAACAAAAATATAATCCCAAAGATCCTGGGAATCTTCATGACAGCTATATGCAACTATTTGAACTGTCTTATGTAAAACTAGGGAAAAGATTGAATAATAAAGTCCTGTACAAAATTATTTCTGAAGTTTCAAAATTTTAATTCACTCTTAAAAAAAAATACTAGTCGGGCTCGGTGGCTCAGCCTGTAATCCCGCGCCTTAGGGAAGCTGAGGTGAGTGGATTGCCTGAGCCCGCAGGTTCGAGACCCGCCTGGGCAACTTGGCGAGACCTCATCTCTACAATAAGTCAAAAAATGAGCTGGGCGTGGTAGCGTGCGCCTATAGTTCCAGCTACTTGGAAGGCTGAGGCGGAAGGATCGCGGGAGCCCAGCAGGTCGAGGCTGCGGTGGCCGGGAGCGGCCACTGCACTCCAGTCTGGGTGACAGAGTGAGACTCCAACTCAAAAACAAACAAAACAAACAAACAAACAAACAAAACTATGCTACCCTTTTAGATTATCCTACCCCTAAATCATCCATGCTAAAATACTACATTGTCACTTTATTTTATTTTTAGACAGGGTCTTATTCTGTTGCCCAGATTGCAGTGCTGCGGTGCAACCATAATTTACAGTAACCTAGAACTCCTGGGCTCAAGCACTGAGATTACAGGAGTGAGCTACTGTGCCCAGCCTGATCTAGTCATTTTAGGAAAAGAGAAAGCAGTGATACCATTTTTTCAAAATTTGTTTTGAGTTAGTATTTAGTAATGAGTGCCAGAAAGACCCTAGTTACAGGATTTACCAATATCCCAGCCCCCTCCCCAACTATCCTGGAGGGTCTCATACAATTAAGAAGCAGAAGTACTGTGCTAGCACAGTGCCGGTAACTAAGAGCTTAGTGGTAGAGAGAAAAACCAAGATGTGCAGTAAGTTTAATTCAGTTTGGATTTATTTTGTCTGCTTAGTGATTAGTGTAAAAGAACTATGCCTGCTTTAGTGTATAGGGAGCAACCACAATCCTTTTCTTATGGATCTGTAATCTTGTTTAAAAAAAACCCAAAAAACGACTGTATGATACATTCTGTATCTGGTGCATATGAATCTTCCTCTCCCTATTCAATCCTTACAGCTCTTCCTGGAGAGTAGGGATTATTATTCACATTCTTTAGTCAACTAGGCGTTGGCGAAATGCGCCTTTAGCCTTTGAAGCCAGGCAGGCCTTCTCTCCTGGTCGGGGTTTAACCAGAGCTGGGTTTAAACGGTGCAGAGGGTAGTGAAGTCGGACAAATGGTGGGCTTCGTTCTGCCAAGCTCGTCTGCAGGTAGCTGAGTGACCTTGGGCATTCAGACTCAGTGGCAGCCTCCCCAGAAGGAAGGTTATCCCACCACGAACCAGATGACCCGTTAGGGCTCTCAGACCCCGCGATCCCCGTGCACTTCTGACCACCTCTCAAACCCAGTGTGATGGTGGGAAAACTAGCCGGGGCCCTCGGAACTGTTATGCGCACCATTTACAGCATGGTGACTTATCGAGGAAGATCGCCCGCGAAACGCCCTGGCTGGGCGGTCCGGCCTGTTTCAGTCCTTGGTTGCTTTTCAGGGTGCCAGATGTACGACCGTGGGCCTGCCCCTGCGACCACCTAGGTTTGACAACTCGGCCCCTAGAGTCCACAGCGGGGGACCTGGCGAGGAAGCCTGGTGTCGACTGCCCCTGCGTCCCTTTTACATCTGCGGTTCGTGGGGACGGGCCCTGGGACGACGTTCAAACTGGGGTTCCCACCGACGCCGCGAGCCCATAGCCGGTTTCCTCCGAACGCGCGTCCTGGGGTCCGGGGGGCGGAGGCGGGGCAAAGGGCGCAGGAGCGAGC